AGAGTTAATTTTGTGATCGGTAGACTTATTGATGGTTCGCGCCATGACTTATTTACAGTAGTGATAGATTTATTTTTGAGTAATAGACTTATTAGTAGTTGTGGTAGAGTTATTTTGTGATCGGTAGACTTATTAATGGGTTCGCGCAATCGTAGACTTATTTATAGTGGTGGTAGAGTTATAGTATGTGGTAGACTTATTTATTGTATTGGTATATTTATTCAATCTTTTCACTTTTTTACTAAAACAACCTTAGACTTATTTATAGTAGTGGTAGATTTATAATATGTGGTAGACTTATTTATAGTCGTGGTAGTGGTAGATTTATAATATGTGGTAAACTTATTTATAGTAGTGGTATACTTATTTATAGTAGTGGTAGATTTATTCAATAAAGATAAAATCGTAATTTACTTTTCATCTTCTCCACAAAACACCAAACTTTTCTCAAACCCTAACAATGGCGGCCAGCCATTTTTTAGCTCGTTTTTACTATATTTTAACTCGTTTTCAACTAGATTTTGCCTAAAACTAGTAGATCTAACATTATATATCTTTTTCTAACAAAAAATCAAAAGATTTTGAGTCTTTTTTCAACTTTTGATTTTTAATTCGATTTTTACCTAAATTTCGGCCTCCACACTTCCGCCGAGCATGATCCGGTGCTTCCGTAGCCTCCGCGGCCGCGGTTTTTTTTTTATTTACAAATTTTGAATGGCATTTTCGTAATAAAAAACTTGTTACTAAAGTTTATTTGTCTTTTATAACTTGTGTTGAGTTTCAAGGTTGAATAAAAATTGTTCTAGAGAACATTTTTCGGCTGAATCGTTTTAGTGTGTGCCTTTTACTACTAACCCTCTGATTTAGCCTTATCCACCGACTTATCTACTTGCTATAAGAAATTAGTCTCAGTTGATTCCTTCCTACAAATATGAAGTTGCCGGTTCTAATTTAGCATGACAACTTGTGTGGCATGTTTACTTTGTGGGGATATCATCTTGCTTGTGTTCCTCTGTCCGTATGTGTCAGTATACGCATACACGAGAAGGCAAAACAAACTTATGAGTGTGACTTTATTACCCAGCTGGTGTAGGGAAAATATGAGTAAGATTGTAACAAAAATAGAGTTTCTTTGGTTGCTTCTATGTGGTCTTTAGAACAAAAATGTTAATAGATGTTGTTACATCTGAAATCTGATGCGGCCAATAATTAACAAGGCCATTTTGACGCACGATTGTAGAAACACTACAACACGAAAAATCTAAGGAGCAAGTTAACGACGAGAAGCCATCAAGCAAAACACCCAAACTTCATACCAGAAGAAGATATACGCAATTAGAGAGCTTAGAAGGAGATTTGTTTTAATTAGGAATTGAAGCTTAAGAAGCATCCATCCTTTATAATTTCCTTACCACTATTACAGAACCTTCTCATTGGAGGAGATAAAGCAATTGTCTTTTAATGAATAAATATTAGGTCCATAAAAATCTTAAGATCGTAGAATCCATAGACTATTATTTCGAGCTACACAAATTATTTGCTAGCTGAGAACTTTTAGGATTAGTTTTTCAAGAAAAAGCCAGGCTCCTAGGATTAATCCATGAGGCAGTTAAGTTACACGTTGC